GCAAAGGATGTTCGGTTTTCATCGATTGCTTTTCATGATTTGGGGTGTTGAACCCGTTCCCCCACATATTGATTGGACTTTGATGGGGGTAGTGCTTTCCAATCACCAGCGGATTCCAGTTTGATTACCCTGTGTGGGGGAAGTATAAGGAACAGTTTGTTGTGTTTGTAAGAAACCACTTTGTCAGACTTTGCCGTGTGTTCATCTCCATCAAACATTGGCTCATCTCCATCGATCACGCCGCTCCGCCTCTTTAAAAGAACTCCATCCTATCCCATGATTGGGCCGCTTTCACCCTCCATCCTGCCCGCTCTGGTCGTCAGATGTAAACATCGCCACAAAACACGATGGACATCCCCAAGGAACGATCAGTTCGTGGCCTGCCTTCTCGGTGGCCTGCCTGCCTAAGGTGGTTCCATCCAACACCGCCGCTTTCTGGTGGTTCTGTTCCAAAACGAGCAAAATCTTTGAAACCATGTCAAGGAGGTATCCTCCAAAAGTCTCTTAACAGGACCACTCTGGATTGAAAGACTAGACCGATGCTCTCAAATTGGGCCAGATTCCTGGGGCCAACATGGCCAAGAAATCAGACGACAGCGCCGTGCTGAGCGTCCAACCCGCCCGTCCTCCGGGTCCGACGCGCTTCGATGCGTGGCACCTTTGTTGGGCGTGAGAGAGACTTGCCACGCGTGGCCAGTCTAAGACTGGGAACAAGACTTGGAGGCCACGGCCGTTCATGGTAATGCCGAGTAATGCCTCTAAAAGACATAGCATATATATATATATGGTACCCCACGCCCCAAAGATCTACCTTTTTCATGATCTTTTGGGGGAGGGTAGCATATATGTATATATTTTTTTTTTATATGCTTGCATCCCCTGGTACCTACCTTTTGTGTGGTTGTATCAGATATAGGCCGCAGACTTGGGGATAACAGATGTGGATAACAGATGTAGTCAAAGGAACAGAAATCAATGATTTTCTTTTGTCAGATGCAATGTGCTCTACTCCAGGAACCACTAGACCAGCTTTCCCGTACTGGATTAGTATAGAGTTGAATCCGTGCTGCTGAGCCATGGTATTTGGAATGTTTTGTGTATCTTTATGGATGTTTCAATCTGAATCCCGGGTTCTGAAGAAGTGTGAGTGCCTTAGGTTGCCTTTGCTGGGGTTCTTATGGGTTTCTTGATCAACCGCCGTTGAAGCAAATTAATTACACATGACATCTGGTCAACTTCCTGATCTGATCAGCACACCCGGAAGGCACTGTTTCATTTTTCAGGCACGTTGATATAACATTGAAGCCATACACTCTGAAAAGAAATTGATCCATACCCATTGTATAACAAAAGCCATACATTGATTAACATTGGGCATCGGGTCCCATCGGCTCGATCTTTTCCACGTCCAGCCCAAACACCGCTGTCCGGTCCCCCGGTCCCCCGGTCCCTCGAGGTCCGGTCCGTCCGGTCCAGCGTCCGGTCCGTTCGGTCTGGGTGCCGAAGAAGAGGGCGCCGCCCAGGAGGAGCAAGGTGCCGAGACAGACCTGGGACGAGCACAGGCCGAGGACGGTCCTTTAGTGCGGGAGATGGGCCGAGGTGACACAAAGGAGAGGTCAGGTGCAGATCATTCGCGTGCTCTCTCTTGAAATATTTAACCAAAGAACTACGGCCTTAAGGAAAGGAGATGTTGCAAGTGTTGCTTAGTGTTACCTTATGCAACTATGCTACAATTCAATGAACAAAGTACTCCAATGTCTTTCTCTAAAAAGCAGTTGAACAACCGATGCGACTTGAAGCACAGGACCCCCACGACCTGCGAGTCAAACACATCGATTCTACCACTCCCAAGGCCGACGCGTCAAACGTCTTGGTCCCCGAGCACACGCGAAGACCGCCGCGCTTGCGGGACCTCCCCAGGGTGGTGATCATCGCCAATGAGTGGAGGACCAGAAGTAGTAGGGAGGACCAGGAATGGTGTGGAGTGGGAGAAATCCCACCAATTCCCCACATTTTTGCAGTTGCTACTTCCTCCACATATGCCTGGCCCCATTGATAGGTTTGAATCCCGAACAATCCTTACTAGTCGAAGTATACACTCCAAGACCAGCTCAACCGTCCTCTATCCATGGTCTTCTCCGAAGTCGACCGGGACCGTTCAGCTCGTTTGGACTCTGCGGAGCCGGTCTTCGCGGGAGGACCCATCCTCTGTGCCCGATGACTGGGAAGGAGACGAACAAAGAAATGGTTTCTTCAATTAACAAAAGGGATATTGATATAGATATTCTTTTGTATAGTACGAAAGACCAAGTGAGGGGACTCTCACAAGTTGGAGACGAATTCGATTCACTCCGTTTGGTGTTTGTCCCACCGACATCAGATCGTTGGCCCCAACGTCAACAGTTTTCCGGTCGCCAGTGCATAGCACATTCAACACATCTCTCCCACCGTGCATTCTTTTGAAATTGGTATACTAAGCCTATACATATACAGTAGTAGTAATTTTAAGTGTTAAACACGCCTATAAGTAGTAAGTGTGGAACAAGCCTATATATTATATATATGGTAAGAAGTAGTAAGACCGTGTTTTGCTGGCCCTAAGACCCATCGAAGGCAAAAAAAAACACCGCGGAGCCCTCCACGAGACCCGAGTCTCGAGTGTCGAATGGCACCGATCGATGCAGCGATGGCCCCATGGTTGTCCCATCCAGTGGTTGTCCCATCCACTACTACTACTACTACTACTACTACTGTTTTGGATGTCACAGAGCTCCGGGTGGTGTGACTCGTCCCATCCAGGAGCTGTGGATGTGACAAAGTGGCACCCCTAACCCAACCCGACTTCCTCCGAACCGACACCGACTTCGCGAGCGACATGTGACTGCTGGAAAAGGTCATGTTTCGTGGTCCACTGGACTTGTTCATCGTCTAAACAGAAATCGTTGTTCACTACAGAAATCGTCTGACACCCCTCCTGTCAGAGCCAGCGTTTGGTCTCTACCCCTCCTGGCCTCGGAAGCCCCAGGCAGGCCGCGGGGCTGCAGCTCCTCCAAAGAGCGTGATGTGTCACGAATAATGTTGTTGCTTTTGGTTAAAAATTGACAAGCCTTCAGCCGCAGAAGCATTCAGATGGTTCGATTATGTTCGATTGATCATTCTGAACGGGGGGGCAAGGTGTGGAGTTGAAAGAAATCTTGAGGTTCTAATCACTGATGATGGTGTTATATGATGTTCAAATCAGAATCATCTGTTAAAGGACACCCTCCCAAAAAAAGAGTGTCTCTTGTTGTTCCTCTTTCGTTCTTCACGAGTGGTGCTCCCACTAGTGAAGAGGGACAGTCGAAATCACCTCGGCAGGGACCTTCTCCTGCAGGACAAATTGTAGTTATGCATGGGCCGGGATTGGACTGGTAGAGTTTGGACCCAAGTCCACGTCTAATTCGCGAGCTGTCCCGTACCAAAACACCACTGGTTCGATCAAACTTCAGGAGCGACTGTGTTGCCTGACAGTCAGTTGAGTTTTGGTTGTTCTGCCTATACTCCACTATACAAGTAGCTCTTTAGGCCGACAGGGATCTGCTCCACATACCTAGGTGCAGTAATGGCACTTTGGTGCAGTAACGGTACGCAGCGTTCAAGTAGACTAGTCTAGCATTTTATTTCGAGGAAGTTGGGACTACGAGGCTTTGCCGTGGTCAATGTCGGTTGGACCATCAGCTGGATGATCGGATGCGGTTTCCCTCTTGATACACCTTTGCAAGGTTCATCAATGTCAACATCGGGTTACTAGGACCCCATGATGAACCAGTATATAAACCCATGCTAGCTATAATGCTGTGTACAACCTGTCAGACGGACGAACTAGTGATGCTCTTCGACTCTTTTTCTTCATAGCTATATATGGCACAAACCCAAACACTTCATCTATGGAATCTATACCTGACCTATAACCATCCTGATTCCGCTGATCATCCACCGTGGATCCGCCGGATTGATCCAGACCCGAACCGGACTGGAACACCGCCCGGGACGTCGCCGATTTCATCGCTCCGAGCCCCCGACGTCGACCCACGTCGGACAACCGCACCTGGCAAGGTGCCTTCGGCATCTGCCATGGCAATCCGAACCCCTTGGGGAAGAACGTGATCCTTTTGATGGCTGTCCTACTGTAGTGGCTGTCCTAGCAACATGCATCATACATATTCATGCCGAGGCACACATGAAAACGTAAGGATTTGGGTTTGACAAATCTTCTTGGCATCTGCATCTGCATGGCGGGGGGGAGTCTCCCCATCAACCAAACTACAGTACCTTTCGCTTGCCCGTTGGATTCCAACCACCATTGATTAAGTATAGGCTTTACCAGACAACCATTGTTTGACCTAAAGGATTTTACACTACCAAAGCAGGTCACTGACCAAGCCCAAGCCAGGGCGACTGGTTCTGCCCTTTTGCTGCCGACGTCGCTGACCAAATCACCCCTCACTTTCAGGTGACTGGTGCTAGTCATATGGCTTTTGGTTCTCCAAGAAAGTATCAAAACGTATAAACCATATGAAAGATTATATCGAAATCATTATACTTTTCAAAAATTTTTTGAAATTTAAAAATAAACGTTTCATATCAATGATTTCGATATCATTTCGAAAAAACAAAATATATCGAAATCATTGACCTATAAACAACCTAATCGCGATGGCCTCCAACCCAATAGCAATGGTTTCTGGTTCTCCAAGAAATCTCTAAGCACGCTCCGCGCCTCGCTGGCTTCTGCGACTAGCTGGATGGGTGGGACCCTCTACCTTTGGCATCCATGCGATGCGGACCCACGCGGCCCCAGTTTCTTGAGCCATGACAAGCCATGACAAGTTCAGCCATCCGAATGCGGAGACGTCCGAGTTCGGGTGGCACGAAACGGGCAAAACAGGAAGCGATCGAGTTGGGTCTCCCTGAGTAAGGTCAGAGATTGGAATGGCATTGGAAGGATCGTCATTTGTTTTGACACTGAGATCTCAGAGTCCACCATCCAGGAGCTATACACAGAGGCCTTCAGCCTGAGAGGCAGGCCATTGTTTGTGAAAGTGCTCGCCTCTTCGTCGTCACTTCTTGCCCTTCTTGCCCTTGTGCCCTTTTCCGGTCTTCTTGCCTTTCTTCAACCTTCCTTTGTCTGACATTCCGCGAGGCCCAATGCCTTGCCAAGACAAGAAGCATGATTTGCAATACCAGGACTGGTCCTCATAGTAGTCCTTGCCAACAATCCGCGCCTTCTCACACCACTGGCAGTAGAAGTCCTTTGTTGCAATTCCTTTGACCATGTCCTGTGCCACCCTTTCAATGTCATAAGATGAATGCTTTTGCAGAAATGCCCACACCGACTTGGGATAGACATAGGTTGACCCATTGTTGTTCCACGCCACAACCTCCGGAATGTCCTGAACAAAAGCTTTGGCTTTCCCCGGAAAAGGTGATGCTCGTGAGAAATACTCTTTGGCTTTCTCGGGCCAGGTGCCACAGCTCAAGCCCTTCCATGCATGACACGGGTCCCAGTGTTGCCAACTCAACCATTGGACATAGTCTTTGACATTTTCTGTTGACCACACTTGGGGGGGGCTTCTTTGCAGAAGCCTTTGTTCCCAAAAGACTTGACACCCTTTCCTGCAGCTCACGGACGTAGCTTCCACTTGGGTCGGGCCAAACTTCAGGGTCAAAGGCATACTCATCCTCCTCTTCACAGTCTTCGCCCTCATCAAATTGGGGCCTGATCTTGCGCTCAAGCACTTGCGCATCCAGACGTGCGGCCAGCTCATCCTGACCCTCAAAGCCATCTGGCAAGAGCTGTATTGGTTGCACAACCTTCTCACCTCGTTCATTCTTGACCTTCGCAAACTCAATGAAACAGCCAGCCTGCACAAGCTCACTCAGCTGCTCAAACTTTCTCTTAATTGATCCAACCAGGCCAATGGCATTTGCCAGTTCCAAGGCGTAATAATAGACATCATCTTCAGCTTCTAAGCAGCTGATATATCCAAATGAATGCGACTCCCTCCAAAAAAAACTTCTTCAGGCGACTGCGGTAGAGAGCTGCTTCGCCAACACAATTGTTGTTGGCGGAGCTCATGACGTACAGTACTGTGCCCCAAACTTGGACGTTCTGGGCCAAAAGGAAGCATAATTAGTCACAAATAATTCATGGTTCGCAGCGGTTGAAGCCCTTTTCTTGTAGCCTTGATTGGTATGGGTTCTGGCTTGGATCAGTATCTAAGTATAATTCTAAGAGAAAGCTGTGCAGGGTTCAGACTGTTCAGACCGCGCTCTTCCTCATTTGAGTTGCACGTTCACGCACGGTTTCTTCGGCCACGGCTATGGAGCTCATTAAGGCGTTCGTGGGACGTTTTCTGTGCTCCATGGGGAGGACGATGATTGACATATCGGCTTGGGAAGGGTTCACTGAGACGCCCTGACCTTCTACGCAAACATCTTCTCGAGGCGAGGATGATTGGCTGGAAAAGAAAGACAAGGACAAGAGATGACTGGCTCCTTTCACCTACATGCTCACACAGAGTTCTCTGGCCAAATTCTTCACGTTAAACAGTCAAAGCCGAATATCTCAAGACATATGTAGGTGTGGTGCAATGTTGCTGCAGCGTTGCTGCTGCTGCTGCTGCTGCTGCTGCTGCTGCTGCTGTTCTTACTGTTGTTGCTGTTGTTGCTGCTGTTGTACAGGGGAAGTCTGATTGCTGAAAAGTATACAGTCAAGACGCAAAGACTCACGCGCATCGAATTGAACTCAATTTTCCAATTTGTCTTAACTCCTCCAAGTGAGTGGATCTCTTAGAGACTCACTCCTGAGAGATAATCAGAGTTCGGCAAGATGAGGCAATGGCAATCAATTGCGAAATCAAGGAGATCTCCGCGAAACCTTTCCGTCTGGAGGATTCCAGTGAGCTCATCAGGGATGCCTTTCGGAAGTTCGACGGGATGAGTTAAGAAACCCGTGAGCATGGTATGGAGGGAGTTGTTCCTTGCCTTGAGTGTACAAATCGACAACCTGGAAGGACCAAGTGACAACCCTGTTCTTCAAATCACTTTCGCCCAAAAGCACAGACTGAAACGCCCTGTCTGCAGGCAGATCGCTGTTCGGCGATCGAGTCGTTCCTGCAAACCGACCTGATGCTCAAGCCCGATCGAGTCGTTCTACCGTCGATGTGTTGAAACTCCCTGGAACTCACATGGAAGTGGATGGTATGGCCCCGAAAGGAAGACCCCTGAACGTTCTATATGCAGACAGGGTGTGAACTCCGTGAACTCCATGGTTTTTCCGTTCGGAGAGGTACGACCACCACCGACCGAAAAAGGCGGCGTCTTCGGTCTCGCCCGGCGAACGTGACTTCCAATGATCTGAACATCGAAGACATCGAAGACATAGCTTCCGAGGCTTCCCAAGCAGTCTTGGAGTCAAGACTTCTGAGATGAAGCATTTGTTTCATGTAGTGTTTCATGTTTCAACTAGCTGGGTCTCTTCCCAGGCTGAGATGAAGCATTTGTTTCAACTAGCTGGGTCTCCTGCATCTCTTGTCTCAACTTAGCTAACACGCGGGGGTACAGGAACCGAATCAAGACGGGTCAAGACGGGATCGCTCTGTTGATCCCCAACGTCAATCTCCATCTACTCCATCTACTCCACAGGTCTAAGCTTTAGAGAACCCCCCCAAGGGTGTTAATGGGAATATGTGGAGATCACTGTGGGCATGGATCCTGAGATTTCCGATTGCCCACCTCATCTCGCGTTGTGGGGAGATCTCAAATAAGAGAAGGTCAACCTGTGTCAACCTTCACCGAGACGAGGGTTTTTTTCCAAAGTGGCTCTTGAAAGAAAGTGCCGTTGGAGCCATGGTTCCGTTCCAACGTGGCCAACCCCTTCATGTGGAGCTTTGATTCATCTAACATCTAAGAGTCTAGTCTAGTGGGACACTTAGCAGAACCGGCGTTGCTCAAATCCGCTCGTCCGGTGGGACATCCAGACCTCCCCGTCGCATCCAGCTCCGTGGCCGGGAAAAACGCCGAGTGCTCCGCAGCCCCGTCCCGCGCGCGCTAGGCGCGCGCGGCCGGGGCGGGATGCCGGGCGCGCGGTACGGAGGGTCGAGGCGGTGACCCCGAAAGATGAGGGCCATAAATTGGGATTGAGTCCAAGGTCTTGATGGGGATGTATTTGGTAACTCTGCATCACATGATATGTGATGCATTATGAATTATTATGATATCAGTTGTAAACATAGCCAATAGCCAATGTTGCACTAAAGTGTTACAGGGGGCCGGCCATTATATATTAACAACCTAGGATCAGCCTGCACTAACTGGTTCAGAACTTCTCCGACTAGTTGCCTGCAGTGCGTTTCCTCTTGGGCCATCCTTGAAATCACGCAAGCAAACTGACCAATGCTGCTAATGTAGACTCTTGATGAATAAACCCCCCATATGAATTCAGAGTTTTCATTTCAGGTGCTTTCTGAATCAGGCTACATGTGGTTACTGTCGTTCGTCCCCAATCGATTCCTAAAGGTTTCCTTTTAGTCTTTTTGGGCGCCCAAAAAGGGTTCTCCGGATCCGCTCTATCCGCTCTATCCGCAGGTGATTCGCTCCACTCGGGCTCGGCCAGGACAGCTGGTGGAAGACAACATCCGGAACAGAGACCCGCCAAAAAGACGTGTTTTTTATTATGGCGCATATGGCATATGGTTAAAAAAAAAAAACAATCCGACGTTTGAAAGCACATGTCTCTTTTGTTTGGCGCATGGTTGAAACAACACCGAAAGTTGGACTTTTCAAAGCGCGCGCGTTGACGTATAGAATTGACAGGGCCTGTTTTCATATGTTAATTCACTGGTGGTGTTTGTACATGTTACATGTCAGCTTTTGTGTTTGGAAAACTATATACAGCTTTTTGATGTTGTTTGTTCTTCAGTGGCCCTCTGCGACTCCCTGGGATTGAGGGAGGCCCAGTCTTTCGGGAGTGTGACTGCCCTGGGCTTGTCACTACCGTTTCAAGCACGCATGGTTTGCAATCATCCCTGGGAGTCCAGTCCACCATTTTGATGGTCCTTAGGTGCTCTGAGTTCAGGAATTTCCTTTACTTCTGTGTTGCCAAAAATGGTCGACCCGGACTACTATAGGGTATAGGCTACGTAAGGCTTGTGGGCCACCCAACATCCCCAAACAATGGTCGCTTGACCATTTGTGGGACTCTGTTTGCCCGGGTTCCATGCTTTGATCCAAAGTCACTTTCTTTGCCAATTGCATTGTAAGTACCCCGCTGGCGAAGCCAATGATCCAATCTATACGAGACTTCTGAGTCCCACTCTTCAGCACAACCCGAATTAGCAGCATCTCACTTCCTGGAAAGTTCCACACGCTCCGCTTTGGCCGCCTGGCCGCCAAAGCCGGCTGACCCAAACGTGTTGAGTTGCCAGCATCGGCCGTCTGCGTGCAGGATGCCTTGGTGATGAGAGTTCAACGAACTGCACAAACTGAATATCCCATAATTTCCCATGATTGAGTGATTTATCCTGATCTTCTCGTAGCGAACAAAATTCGCGTCCTGTCTAGAAAAGACCGCGCGCTTCCAAGCAGCGCAAGCATCGCGCAAATAATTCATGCACGACCTATTTTACACGGTGAGCGGCTTTCGGTCAGAACTAATCCAACTCTAGACCATCAAACTCAGTGATGAGGGGCACATCATCTTCATCGATCGTGAAACTCCTCAAGCGCTCCTCCATGTCCATGTCCTCTTCTTCAACTTCAGCATCTGGTTCCTTTTGTTCATAGAGCGAACATAGACCGAGAGGTGAATCTACCCAGTCTTCCTGTTCTTCAAACTCTGCAAACTCGAAGCTATTGCATTCTTCGATCATGGAGCACCACTCCGCACACATTTCCACATCTGCCAGGAAGGTGACACCATGGTAGAACTTGAATTCCTCCTCATCTGTTGCCTTCTCCGTCTCGTTCTCCAGCAGCTCCATTCGCTGCCTTCACTGCAACAAAGCCACTGCCTGAAGGCTTTTGGACATGAAGGTGGTGGCTTTCAGACACCCGTTGGGCGAGCCCACGGTGCACTTGAACAACGCATCTTCGAAAAAGCTGCCCTGCAACTTCACCTGGGCTGGGTACATGGCGTCCTTGAAGGCATGCACTTCCACTCCCGGCAAGGACTCCGCGATGTTCTGAGCCAATGGCTTCAGCTTCACATTCGTGGGCTGCTTGCCGGTCGAGCAGGACTCAAGGAAGACGGTGGATCGAGCTTCACCCTGCTCAATCAACATGGGCCGCAAGGCATCTAAAAGCTTGGCAGTTTCGGAGGTCTTCGTGCCAACCTGTGTGGTGAGCAGCCGATCAGAACCCAAAACCAGCGTTGTAGGATTGCCATGTCCCGAGATGGTCACATGCTTGATGCCTTGCCCAAAGACCTTGTCAGACCTCAAAGACTGCACAAATTCCGTGGCGGCCTTCACGGAGTCGACTCTCTTGAAGACCACGTTGTAGTGTGAGCTCATCTGTAGCAAGCGATAGCACATGGAGCCAAAGCTCTGTGCTCCGCCATTCAAGCCTTTGAAGGCACCATTGTGGTCGCCGGCGTGACTGGTGACCAGGTACAGCGACGTCAACTTGGAGCTTCCATGTTGATAGGACAGGCTGTCTGATCCACTGAACGCGAGGCAAAGGCAGCCCTCTGCTCGCGCGTGCAAATTCCACCCTTCTTGCCTTGCTGCATGAGCCTAGACTCCTTCATATCCTTCCGGGCCAAGATATCTCGCAGGTGCCTGCCAAAGAATTTGGCACGGGTCTCAGATGAGCTCGAGGAGAAATACCTCCTCCAACTCCTTGGATTTGAAGGAACCTGACAAAAAACTTGTCCAGCAGGGGATTTCAACCATATAGCGAAAATACAAAATCAATCTCACCTTACAACACCAGGGCTCGCTATCCGAGCTGCTGCAACTCCTGGCGCGAACGGGAAAGATCGACCGGCGAGGTCGCACCGTGCGTTCCAGCGATACTTCCCCACGCGGCAGCGCCCGTTCCAGCGCACGGAAGGCGCGCACGAAGGGCGCGCGCAGCGCCGCGTGCACCGTCGCGCCGGCGTTGGCCGTCGGGAGCTGCGGCGCTCGGCCGAGGCGCCCGATGCCCAGAGGCACCTGCTGCGTCGGCATCTTCGGCACCCAACGCACCGTCGGGCGGACCATCGTGGAGAGCTCCTCCGACACCGGCAGCGGCGCGACGCCCTGCGTCCGGCCGCGAAAGAGGTTCCGCGCCGCCAGCGGCAGCCGCGCCTCGACCTGCGCCCAGCGGGCGGCCACGAACTCGGTGGCGGCCTGCGTGGCGGTGCGCTGCACAGGGCGGAACAAGGGGTTGTTGTCGGTCCGAGTCGCTACCTCTTCTTGGGAGACTTGTACACGAGTAGCTGAGCATTTTCCAAGCAACACCACCAGCCATGGAAGCGCCACACGCCGAAGCATATGGGGGCGCCAAAAACACGACTGGGCGCTGAGAGAATATTCAGAAGGCTGAGCTTGACAGCTTCGTGGAGGCGATGCTTGAAAGCCTATTGAAAGAAGCACTATAGGCTACAGGCTACAATCAGAACGGCAACCAAATCGTCGCTCGTGAGACCCGGACGTGCCACGTGCTGGACCCCATGCGTCCTTCAAATGGAAACGGTCCTGACAGCTGTCGTGCACGCGAGGACTCGAGGGCTCGTTGTGCTGGATGGAGCCTTCACAAGCCAATGGTTTGCTGGGCTAAACATCACGAGAAGCAACAAAGGAATCTCCACTTAGGGTCTATTTGGAGGGCCTCGGAAACTGGAATGACTCCAATAAGCCCTACAAGTAGAGGATCTCTGTGGGCAATTCTTCAGTTTCAAACCGAACAAAGACCCCCAGGGTCCTTCGAAGATCACAAACGTAACATCCCTGTAAAATAATGAGGCACAGTCATGCAAATCTCTTACAGTACCGTCATGTACAATCTCTACTTGCTCAACTTGCTCAACTTGCGGGCAAACCTCCAAACCCACGAAATGAACAACATCTGAGGGTCCATCATGTGCAACGCCATGCAAAAACCTGGAGCCGACTGTGGAACCGTGAAAGACTCGTGACACCTGCGCCGTGTTGAGCCGGGACGGGCCTCGTCCATCAATCCACTCGGCTCAACCCCGGTGGCCGCAGCGTGGGCCGCTCGGCCTGGGGCTTCGCACGCCTGGCGGCCATGTGTCGGGCGGATGAGTGGATGGTCGGATGAGGCTGAAGCGAGCACGGACGACCCACGGATGAAGAGGGATCAACACGTCCCATACACTGACCCCCCTGGCACCACCCCAACTGACCGGCATCTATGGCAGTCCCATGAAACAGTCTGGGAGTGAAAGAATTGGACTTTTGGCTTAGCACGTGACGCTTTTCGCGGAAAGCCACGACCGGGACTGACCAGGACCGGTGCTCGAACAGCTCGTCTCGAACACATGTGGACATCCTTCATTACAGCCACAGTCGACGTCGGCCAAAACAATCGTGCCCGTCTCATGGTGCCTGTATCATGGTCCATCCGGTTGATCCCACCCTTTGTTCTGTTCTCAGATCCCATCGCTGTTGTCTAGTCTGCCCCAGTCAAGTCACAGAACAACGCGGTTTCCCCGTCAGCCACCGCCACCCGGCGCGATCGGCCATGCGCACGCGATCCGGGGCCGGTCCCAACGCGGTCGCCTCAAGGCGATCAAGTTGCCCTGGTGCTCCGAGTTGAACGCCGCCTGCGCGGCGGCGGCCCGGACGGCGGTGTCCCGGCCGGTTCCGCCGTAACCCGCGGGCAGCGAAGCACCCCCAAGAACGGTGCCCAAAACGCGATGTCCAGGACGATGTCCCAAGGGGAACTAACATGAACTAACAGACCGCGACCGATGTGGAGGTCTTTCCCTCTTTCTTTTCCGTTGCGACGGCTTGTGGACCAACGAGCGGTAACAAAATGGGCGGTTCGATGCATGGAGCCTCTGAAGGACATGTCATCCAAGGATCCTGATGGAAGCTCTCTTTAAGCTCCTTTTGGAAGGAATTCTCATCCTAACCCTGGCACCCTCAGACCCCCTCAGAAGACCCTTCAGTCCGGATTCGAACAGGAAAAGGACTTGCACTGTGACACTCTTCTTAGTTGGGAAGAACTTGAGGGACTTGCCCACATGGTTCCGAGATGCACCCAGAACTGCTTAGAACTGCTTGTGCCGTCCATCGCTTGACGCCACTGGTATGGAAATCCCCTGACTCCATCTGACTCCTACCAAGAGGAAATTCGGAAAACAGCCATATCATGCCATATCACTGTACCTTCTCACATGCTGAGATTGGGGAGGCTTTTCCTCGCTTCGGTCTGGACCGATGACGCGTTCTTCCTCATTCTGGGGAGCCCCCAAACCCAGCCCTGGCTCGTCAGCCCAGTCGAATGGGGGGGGTCTCAATGTCCCAGCCACTTGCTGCAATTGATCAATGGTTGAACAGCTGTACAGGTCTAGAGTGTAGAGCACAATCATTTGGCATCATCATTGCCTTTCACGAAAAGCTCACACAGCTGGTTACTAATAGTTACTGGTCCACGATCCCCGCATCTCCAGCCGCTGGGCAACGCTTTTTTTTGGGCGGCCAGGGCATCCTCCATCCGCGGCTTCTTGTTCTCCCCCTGGAGCCTGCGAACGACCCAGTGAGAGTGGGAAATTGAAAGCGTTTTAGAAGCCGCGGGCTGTGTTTGGTAGGATTCCAAGCAAGCATCCATGGGTGAAGGGGAGGAACTGCCCTGCCCCTCATCTTTTTTTTTTCATCAATCCAGTTTTCCCTGCACAAATCTACCCAGAAGTCAAAGCCATCTGATTCGATTCAACTCCCAACCAGAGACAAAAAATAAAACCGCCCTTCAGGCATTTCAAGGCCCAGTTAAGCCGTGCAAAAGTCGAAAAAAAAAGAAGAAGAAAACCTTCACAAAAATGAGGTTGTATTAGACTACAGGAAAAACAACAAACACCCATGGAAGATGATGTTTCTCGGACCAAAGCCCCCTCTGGTTGACACATCTCCCTAACGACCGGGACCAGCCATGGACCGAGCACCCTGCCCCCCGCCGGTGCAAACCTCCGCCGGAGCGCGTTCAGCTGTTGTAGGTTCCCCTCCAGCAAAGTCCGCTGCGACTGCCGGAAGGCCTGGTGTTCAAGCCGGCGCTGAAGGCCACCGCGAGAGGGACCGGAGGGCGGTTGAGGGCATAGGGGGTTAAGAAAGGAGTGGGTCTCTGAGAATGAGATGTTCTTCACCCGCCAAGTTACGACGTGTTTGGTGGATGTAGACTTCGAAAATGATCAAGTATGTCTCAGGACAGCGGCTGCATCAGGGCTCGAACCATCCACCAGAGATGGGACAGGTCAAATCAAAGGCATCGCACCCCACAGGAAACGCACCGCGCACACATTCTGCTCCTGGATCTGTCCCTTCATCCCAACTTGTTGACATGTCTATCCCTTCCTGCAGGCAGAACTCACTTCTAACTCACTGGAAGGATACAAGGACGAAATCAAGAAAAATCCCAAGAAGTCCATGAAGATCCAGCTACAAGGTCAAACCGACCCACCTGGGACCTCCAATGGCTCACCCCCGGCACGGGGGAACGTGTCCGGCGCCCAAAACGCGCCCGAAACGCGCCGCGCTTCGACGCCTCGATCCGGGCGCCGTAGAGGTGCCACCTCGCCGACTTACGGTGGTGACGGTGGTGGTCGGGACCAAAACCACCTGAGGATATGGTTGGAGCCCTCTGGAATACTACCCAAGAATAGATGCGATTGCCAAACACTGCATTCTCTATTTGCGGGGTATAAATCTTGAATCTATCTGAGATTGTGACATAGATCAAGCAGAACTGCGCAAGCCTACAGGCTCCACTTTTCCAGCGTCATCTATACTAAAAGCCGGAGAACAAGCACATCCGAGAAAAGGTGTGGTCAAAGAAACCCAAATTCAACGTAAACTTCTCTGAGTCCGGAGGGTTGTGTTCTCGCGATGAGTAGTGACACCGCATCTGACCATAGAATTGAACTTCTTATAGAATTGAAGATTTAATTGGATGTGTTTTCTTGTTTCTCCAAAGGGAGAAAGTGTTTTCTTGGTGCCTTACGAGTACCAAGAATCGCCAGAGAAAAAGAAACCATCGCCACCAGTGCCGGGGGTGCGGAGGAATCCAACACCCCCGTGGTGTTTTGACCCGCTTGAACCCAAAGCCAACCAGTGGTTTTTTTTTTGGGGGGTCCATGTGCAAAACGTGTCTGTTTCTCCAACAGACACGGTGTCGGTCCCGTGGGATCGAGCTCATGCAAGTTATGGGGAGACCATGGGTCTTTAATCCCTCCAAAGCAGGGTTCTTCTTCCTGCCAAAGGAGGCCTTGATGTTGTGCTTCTAAGAGTCAAAATGCCAGTGGAACATTTTTATACCATCCGGTATCATCTAACGATCTATATATATATATACGCTTGCTTAATTTAAAAAAAAAAGAAAAAACATAATAACAATATTAACAAAGTAAGCCACCCCTCACCCCCCCCAAAGGAAAAAGACACACACAGAACATCTGCACATATCTGCACCATGCCATGACCCAATCAATATCACCCCAGTTTAGATCGAGGCTGCTTCTCGGTAAACCGCTTTCTCCTTGAAGGAGATGTCTCTTTCCGGCTCGTTTGCCCGTCTTTGGGCACTCCCACCAGCTTCTCTCAGCTTCCTCGGGACCTGAGGGGTTGGAGGCAGAGTTCGGCCGTGGAGCCCCCGGGGCTTCTTCGACGCCGGGTGCTCTTCCGTCGTAGGAAGACCTCGTGGAGTCGGTTTTGTTGAGCAAAGATGTTCGAATCAACCATAGTACGGCCATCTACCAGTCCTCTCCCCACCAGGTCTGTATCATTGAGGCTTGGGAAGGGCCAGACCTGGGTCTCATGAGACCTGACGTCACCACGACGTCAAAAAGCGGTGCTCGTGACTCGTGGACGCGCAGCGTCCACCACCACGGTGGAAGAAGTCCGACGGTGCGGGTCAGTGGTGTTCTTCGGTTCGACGAGACGCAGAAAGAAGCGTCTCGTAGAGCTCGGTCGACCAATCAACCGCCGGTCTTTTGGAGAAAACAGGGTCAAAAGGGGCGAAACCAACAAATAGGCCCTTTGTGGAACATGCACAATGCTCAGGAACCGGGCAATGCCACAAGAAAAGACGTGGGGAAGCAAACACCGATTTGTCCTTCCAGTTCAAGCGAAGTACGAAGCAAAAAGAAAGACTGACCACTCTAAGAATTTGGGTGCTTGTACTGGCGCTTGTATAATACATCGGGTTTGGTTCGGGTCAGGACCCCTGCGAATGGGTCGGGGTTGGACCCCACGTGCCTCCCTCTCGGCCGTAGATGGACTGCCACACCCGTCCAGCCCGGCGTCCCAATTCGACCCGT